TGCTTATGTGGTACTGAGGAATCGAACCCAGGGCCTTGAGCATGCAAGGCAAACGCTCTACCACTGAGCCACCTTCCCAGCCCTCACATTTTTTTTTGTTGCTTGTGGGGCTTGAACTCAGGGCCTAGGTGCTGTCCATGAGCCTCACTGTGCTCAAGGTTAGCACTCTACCACTTGAGTCACTGCGCCTCTTCTGGTTTTTGGGTGGTTAATTGGTAAGAGTCTCACAGGGACTTTTTTGTCTAGACTGGCTTCAAACAGAGTTCCTCAGATATCAGCCTCCTGAGTAGCTAGGACTACAGATGTGAAGTACTGGTGCCCAGCTTTGGTTCACATTTAACCTACTATTTTTTCTGTTGTTTTTTTTTTCCTTCCAATACTGGGTCTTGAAACTTAGGGTTTAGGTACTGTCCCTGAGCGTTATTTTTTCCCCCCTTAGAGCTAGTGCTCTACCACTTGAGCCACAGCTCCACTGCTGCCTTTTTGTTAATTCATTGCAGATAATCTCAGGGACTTTCTTGCGCTCCTCAGATCTCTGAGTAGCTAGGATTATAGGTGGAACAACCAGAACTCTGCCTGCATTTGTCTTTTTGGCCTTTCAGCAGTAACAACCAATTCACACACATTGAATTTTTCTACACAACGGGGACCTTCTGACAAGTGGCCCCAAGTCTTCATCATACCTCTATTTCCTCCCAGGTCGTATCTATAACTTGATTGTGGTTTATATGAGAAGTGAGGGACTTAAAGTAATGGTAGTGACCAAGTGACAGTGCAAATGCCCAGACAAAGCTGGGAAGGATAGTTTGTCCTGACTGAATCCCAGACTTCCAGAGAGGTCTTGCTGAATGCTGAGGCTTAGTATTAGTTTCCTCTTGGGGAAAATAGCAGCTGATTCCATGTCAAAGGTAGATGGAGAGGAGGGCTGACATTAATAACATGGGGTACGGTTTGAGGGAAAACAGCAAGAACCTGTTTTGGAAGGAAAGCCTGAGGGTACAAATGAATGCTACTGTTAAGAGACTGTATGGAAGTCGAGGTTGCAGTCTGAATGGACAGACTGCGTGACTACATCAGATAATCAGCTGAGCGACTGGCTGGGGCCGTAGCCCGCCTGGGCATGTCACGGCGTGCTTGGGGTTAAAAATTTAATGATTCACATCAGAAGGTCTGACAGGAGAAAGAATCTCACTAGGACTGGGAACGCTGTGATTGGCTAACGCAATGACGGACAGACCAGTGCATGCGCGGAGCCTCAGGCAACCTCAGCTATCTCGGTTGCCGCCCCCGCAGTCCCGCCACCGCCCAGACGCATACTGGGAAAGCACAGCGAGCACCCGCCTCCGGGAACGAGCCGGTCCCGGGAGGAGTCTAGTCACGGCTCACGGGTTGGTCCGTGCGGACACAGCTCGCAGTGAGGCACTGCCAATAGGCTGTGTGTGCCGGACCACGCCCGCGCGAACTCTCTTCTCGCGAGGCCAGCTAGGCCTGAATATCGTTAGCTGTGTAGAAAGATGGCGGAAAATTTAAAAGGTGAAGTAGTAGCGGTAGAGGCACGGGCCGCTTAGCTGGGCCAGGTGGACTTGGAAGGGTGATGTCGTCAGCTCGGGGATCCGGCGTCCGAGGCCATGGAGCCGGGAGCTGGAAGCCGGGTGCGGAAAAGATGAGGCTCCAGGAGCGCGGGCCTGGCGTGCGGGTTGGGCGGGGCTCGGGGGAGGGTCGCATGTTTAAGGGCTCGCGGGGTGCGGGGCTGAGTGAGGACGCGGGAGAGGGCTCGCGCCTGAGTTCACGTCTGGTCGGCTTGCCTCCGCGCGGGGTCTTGACAAGCAGTCTGCCTCCGCGCGCGGGAAAATTTGGTCCCCGTGACCGTTACCCTTTCGATTTCCACGCGAGACTCCGGAAGGGGAGGAAGGAGGAGGACGGACCCCTTCTTAGACAGACACTTTGGGGGAACGCTAGTGTAGCCTGATGGCGGAAGAGTTCGGAGTAGAGGATTCCCCCCAAAGAGGGGAATGGGGCCTCCCTAGTAGAGTCGGAAGCCTCCATGTGGAAGAAAAGAGGGGTGACTGCTTTGAGGGGGGACTCTCCGGGAGTAAAGCAGCAAGGAAGATGGATTCCACAAGTGTGACCGGACCTGTAAAGGGTAGGCGAGTCCCGCTGTGGTCGCTGCGGTGCCAGCTGCTGGCGACCTTATTTAGGGTCACTTTGACGGTGTTTGAAATGAAAGTTGAAGGGGTTGGGAAGGGAGAAGCGGGATCTGAGACCGCGAAGCGCGGGCACCCGCCCTGAGTCCCCTGGGCCTCGGTTTAAGTGTGTCGGAGGCACACAGGAAATCGTTTTAGAGAAGCACTTGGATAATTTCATGTTGACGTGTAAAGTATTTTGTAGCGGGTCTAAGTTTGATCGTTGTAATGGGAAGTAAAAAATGTTAAGCGTTTTTAAAAGGTGAAATAGAACGTTGACTGGAATATTTGCAATCGAATGTTTGGTGACATCTGATAAAATGGCTTCTAAAGCACCTTAATGGTATGCTTTGAATCAGAAATTTAGACTTTTTTTTTTAAGATCCTGTGCAATTGGAAAATATTGGTGATCCCAGAAACAGGTTTTGTGTGTGTGTGTGTGTGTGTGTGTGTGTATAGTATATATGTTTGTGCGTATATACATACGTAAATTTTATTTTTTTGTGCTAGTACTGGGGATTGAACCCATATCCTTCTGTTCTCTGCTCAAGGCTGTTGCTCCACCACTTAACCCACATTCCAGTTGTCAGTTGAGGCATATTTAAAAGGACTCATGTCCTTAAGGTGTGTGTGTGAGACCCGCAGGTCAAATGCACTGTGGAAAAATACTTGGGCGGGATCAAGGGCCTCAGACTAATTCAAGGGAGTTAATGGATTATAATCTCCAAATCTAAAAAGCCCTGTAAATGAGACCTTTTAAAAAATTTGGTATCATAGCAAAAGGTTTTTTAAAACTTAAGACAATTCAGTGAGTCCTTAACATCTTTACTTCATTTTAATATGGCAGTTTTATGTTTTTGCAGTACATGTTACTATTTCAGTAAATGTTACTTCCTTGGATAATGTTACTTTTGCTGTTGCTATTACTTACTCAGTGCCCCTTCACCCAGGGAGTGTAAGATTAATGTTGGGGGGCATACTAGTTTTTTTTCATACTAGTTTTTAAATTCCAACATATATTTGGCCCAGAAGTTTCAGATTTGAGATTGAAGTCCTGTCTTTTCCCTTAACACCTTTGTTAGATGCCCTGGAAATTTTAATCCCAGCTCCCTCCCCACCCACTTCTTGGGACAGTGTAGGTTCCCTTTCTTTTGCAAAGTGAAAGAAGGGTGATTGAGCCTGGACCCCTCTGCTAATTTGGTGGCCATATTAGGAATAGTGTAGTTGAAACTGGGAAACCATTCCTTTGAGGTAATTATTCCACCTAACTTCACCTTGAACCTTGCTGCCCCAGGGGCTGCTTTGGGCATTGCACATTCATTCTAGTTGCTGGAACTCCCACTTGCATAAGCCTCTTAGCTCCTGGGGAAGGTGTGTGGATTCAGTTTTCCTGATTCTTGGGTCCCCTCTTTCCAGGCTGCAGCATATGTTGCAAATCCTCTTTGCATCAGCTACAGGATCTGTGCCGCCTGGCCAAGCTCTCCTGCCCTGCTCTCGGTGTGTCTAAGAAGAATTTGTATGACTTTGAAGTGGAGTACCTGTGTGATTACAAGAAGATCCGTGTGAGTTTGGGGTGACTGCTTTGGGGGAGGGGACATCTCAAGAAAATTGGCCTTTTGCTTCACTACCCACACCTGTTTACAAAGGAAATAATCTCTGATCCTTCCTGGAAAAAAAATGGGATGAATAGACCCTCTTCTTCCCACTTTACTGGTGGGGAGATTAAGTTGCTTGGTAGGGGGTAAGAGCCATATTAACCCTAAGTAAATCTGTCAGTATTGGAAATAGAAACCAACTGAAATAGAAAACAAATTTAGCTCCCACTCCCCTCAAAGTTATTTACTGAAACCTTTCAGAGCCAAGAAATTTTCCCACAAAAAGGTTTCTATAAAATGGCAACAGTTTCCACTGCTGGCAGGAAAAAACAGCTGGATGGTTACTTAGAAGGATTAAGGAGAGGAACTGAGCCAGCAAGATAGTTTGAGCAGACCAGATGTTGGCTCCAGTGGGAATCCAGGCTTTTAACAGAAACCATTTTTTTTCCTGTCTTGGGGCTTGATCTCAGCCAGGGTGCTGTCCTTGACCTTTTATGCTCAAAGCTAGAGCTCTACCACTTGGACCACAGCTCCACTTCTAGCTTTTTGTGGTTAACTATAAATAAGAGTCTCACAGATTTTCCTGCCCTGGCTGGTTTTGAACCACAATCCTTAGATCTCAGCCTCCTGAGTAGCTAGGATTATAAGTGTGAGCACCAGTGCTCAGCTCTCCAGAAACCCTTTTAAGACTTTTTTTTTCTATCAGTTGTGGGGATTGAACTCAGGGCCTGGGTACTGTTCATAGCTTTTTTTTTTTTTTTTGGGTCGGATCGTGGGGCCTGAACTCTGGGCCTGGGCCCTGTCCCTCAGCTCTTCAGCTCAAGGCCAGCGCTCTACCACTTGAGCCACAGCGCCACTTCCGGCTTTTTGCTTATGTGGTGCTGAGGAATCGAACCCAGGGCCTCATTCATGCAAGGCAAGCACTCTACCACTGAGCCACCTTCCCAGCCCCTCATAGCTCTTTTTGTTCAAGGCTTGTGCTCTACTACTTTGAGCCACAGCACCAATTCTGGTTTTCTGGTGGTTAATTGGAGATAAGAGTCTCAACAGACTTTCTAGTCTAAGCTGGCATTGAATCACAATCCTCAGCTCACGGCTTCCTGAGTAGCTAAGATTACAGGCATGATCCACCAACACCTGGCTTCTGACTTAAAAAAAATTCCTATTATGAAAATAATGTAGAGAGGGGTTACATAAGTCAAGTGATGAGTATATTTCTTTTTGGACAGTGTCACCCCTCTGAAATTTCATTTTTCTAATCTGCAAAATGGGGAAGACTTTGAAAGTGGAGATGTGGCTCAAGTGGTAGAGTACTAGCTTTGGAGGAAAAAATAGCTCAAGGAAGCACCCAGGACTGTCAAGAAAAAAGAAAAGAGAAAAACTAGTCTTACCTACCTGAAAGTTAAGAGGTTTACTTGCTAGGACATATCAAGCGCTCAAAACTACCCAGTACATAACAAACATTAGAAGAATGTTGCCTAGTCCAGGGCTAAAGCCTGTATTCCTAGATACTTTGGAGACAGAGATGGGAGTTCCTAGTGCAAAAAAGAAAATACAGAGATTCAAATTTATTTGTACTGGTACTGGAGCTGAACAGGGTGTTATCCCTTAGCTTTTTTTCCCTCAAAGCTGGTGGTGTAATACCATTTGAGCTACATACCTTCACTTGCAGCTTTTTCTTGGTAAGATATAAGAGCTTCCCTCATAGACTTTTGCTGGTTTTTTTTTTTTTTTTGTCGATCATGGGGCCTGAACTCTGGGCCTGGGTGCTGTCCTTTAGCTCAAGGCTAGCGCTCTACCACTTGAGCCACAGCGCCACTTCCAGCTTTTTCTGCTTATGTGGTGCTGAGGAATCGAACCCAGGGCCTCGTGCATGCAAGGCAAGCACTCTACCACTGAGCCACCTTCCCAGCCCCCTCACAGACTTTTGTTCCCTGACTAGCTTTGAACCATGATCTTTCTAACTCTGCCTCTTGAGTAGGTAGGATTACAGGTGTGAGCCACTGGCATCGAGGTTTTGAGACTCAAATCTTTAGTAATAGCTGGGTGCAGTGGGTGTACCTGCTATTCCCAGCAACACAAGTAGGTTTGAAGTCCAGGCCTGCCTCTGGCATAAAGTGAGATCCTACCTCAAAAACATGGCAACTGAAAACTGGGAGAGAGCAAGGGAAGGGATGACATTGTCCAGTAAGAAATGTATTCTTTTGTTACTATAAAGCTGATGTACTCAGCCAGGCGCTGTTGGCTCACGCCTGTAATCCTAGCTACATAGGAGGCTGAGATCTGAGGATCGCGGTTCAAAGCCAGCCCGGGCAGGAAAGACCGTGAGACTCCTATTTCCAATAAACCACCAGAAAACTGGAACTGGCACTGTAGCTCACGTGGTAGAGCGCTAGCCTTGAGCTGAATTGCTGAGGGACAGCGCTCAGGCCCAGAGTTCAAGGCCCATGACTGAAAAAAAAAAAAAAAGCTGATGTACTGGCTGGGAATGTGGCTTAGTGGTAGAGTGCTTTCCTAGCACGCATGAAGCCCTGGGTTTGATTCCTCAGTACCACATGAACAGAAAAAGCTGGAAGTGGCGCTGTGTCTCAAGTGGTAGAGTGCTAGCCTTGAGCCCAGAGAAGCTCAGGAACAGTGCCCAGACCCTGAGTTCAAGCTCCAGGACTGGCAAAAAATAAAAGGTGATGTAGGGGCTGGGAAGGTGGCTCAGTGATAGAGCGCTTGCCTTGCATGCATGAAGCCCTGGGTTCGATTCCTCAGCATCACATAAACAGAAAAAAAAAGCTGGAACTGGTGCTATGGCTCAAGTGGTAGCACACTAGCCTTGAACTGAAGAGCTGAGGGACAGCGCCCAGGCCCAGAGTTCAGGCCCCATGACTGGACCCCCCCCCCCAAAAAAAAAGATGATATACTAAGGCGTAAAAGTTTTGAAAGTCAGGTAATAAGGAGTCAGAAGGACCACAAGTTCATGGACTTTTCAGCATGACCCTGCCTCAAACAAATAAACAAGAGAAACAAACCCGTGTGGTAGCACAAGCCAGTACTCAAGAGGTTGTAGGGCTTGGGGCTAGGAAGGTAGCTCAGTGTTAGAGTGCTTGACTTGCATGCATGAGGCCCTGGGTTCGATTCCTCAGTACCACATAAGCAAAAAAGAAAAAGCTGGAAGTGGCGCTGTGGCTCACCTAGGCCCAGAGTTCAGGACCCATGACCGGACCCAAAAAAAAAAAAAGAGGTTGTAGGGCTTGAACTCTGCCTGGGTGCAGTCCCTGGGGTTTTTTGCTCAAGGCTAGCACTCTTACCACTTTGAGCCACAGTGCCACTTCCAGTTTTCTGGTGGTTAATTGGAGATAAGAGTCTCACAGAGGGCTGGGATGGTAGCTCAGTGGTAGAGTGGTTGCCTTGCATGCCTGAGGCCCTGGGTTTGATTCCTCAGCACCACATAAGCAAAAAGAAAAAAGCCGGAAGTGGTGCTGTGGCTCAAGTGGTAGAGTGCTAGCCTTGAGCTGAAGAGCTGAGGGACAGCGCCCAGGCCCAGAGTTCAGGCCCCACAACCAGACCCAAAAACAAAACAAAAAAAAAGAGTCTCACAGACTTTCCTGCCTGGGCTGGCTTGGAACTGCAATCCTCAGATCTCAGCCTCCTGAGTAGTTAGGATTACAGGCATGAGGCACTGGTGCCCAGCTTTAAGTACATTTCTTTTTGGACAACATCACTCCTTCCCTTGCACTCTCTTAGTTTTTCCCTCCTATCTCTACCTACGTACAAGTTGGATAGTTCATTTTCCACATAGTGTCTAGTGAGTGCTACTACTGTTTTTTTTTTCTTCTCAGTCCTGTGGTTTGAACTCAGAGTCTTAGCACTGGCCCTTAGCTTTTTTTGTTCAAGGCTATCACTTGAGCCACAGAATAACTTCTGGCTCTTCCTGTGTATGTGGTACTAAGGAATCAAACCCAGGGCTTCATGCATGCTACGCAAGCACTCTGCCACTAAGCCACATTCCCAGCCCCCACTGCTACTTTGTTTTTTTTGTTGTTGTTGTTGGTCGTGGGGCTTGAACTCTGGGCCTGGGTGCTGTCCCTCAGCTCTTCAGCTCAAGGCGAGTGCTCTGCCACTTGAGCTACAGCGCCACTTCCGGTTTTCTGTGGGTTTATTGGAGTCTCATGGTCTCTCCT